TTCGAACACATCGATTGGAAATCATTTTAATTAAAAAAAAATCCAGGAAAAATAAAAACCTTATAATAATGTATTTGTGAGAGATTTAAAATTCTTGTCATTTCTATATAATATCGGAAGTAATTCCCTGGGGCAGTATTGGGTTGTTTATCTTTGAACCTTGTTTTTGAAGATAAGGGTCCCACATTAAACCTATGCCAGGGGCCACAAAAGACCAAATGATGGCCCTGACATAACAACTTCAGTTAAAAATCTAGAAATCAGTTGTAAGAACTTAACTCATCTTATACTACTTTGTCATTTAAGTATATTTTAAGTTATTCACTAAACTAAACAGCAAATATATAAAAGTTTTTTAAACTTCACTGTGAAATTTATAAACTGAAAAAGCACTTTACTTTTTTCCACCTAAAACAGATGAATTCCAAATTATTTAACATCATTCATTGGTACCTGCTTTTACTTAAAATACAAAAGAAATGAAGAAATAAAGGAGAAATGTAGGTAAAAGAAAAACACAGTACAATAATCACAGAATAATTTATAATTAAGAAGCTTTCTGGTTAATTTTATTCTTAAAAAAACATTTACCATCTAAATTATCGATCTCATACTTTCTCCTTAAAATCTTAGCACCAACTTGACATTCTGTTGAAGGATTTTGAAACACTCATATGTGGTTATATTTATTAAACACTTGCTGATATTTAAAAGATTGTTCTTAATGAAAAAACCTTTTACTGTAATCTTTAACAATGATACAGTCATTTCTATAATGGTAAAAATACATATTAAGGCTTTCAATTTTATAAAGTTTCATTTTTAATTAAGTTTCTAGTTGCCTTAGTAAACAACTGGAAAGAGCACTTGGGCCATTCAAAAAATTCTAATATAATATAACTATTTTCTTTACCTTAAAAATATCTAAGAATAAAAACTCTTTCCTGTTTATAGCTATACTACTCCACTATGCAAAAATATTAACAATAAATGCTTCATTATAAAAACTGTTGTGTACTTCACACAAGGGTTACAGCACCCAAAGAAACAAACATTTCCTTACATTTAATAAAGTAAGTGAACATTTAAGTTAGCTTTAGTACATCAATGGAACAGTTGCATAACAGCAAATGTTTTGGTATTATAAATTTCTGAAGAAAAACCAGTTAAAAAATTATAATTTACTAAATGCCATAGAAGGTCATGAAAGAATTCAAACAGCAAGCACACATGTTTAACTGCAAGTAACATTCCAGGCCTGTAATATTGTATACAAAGTCCAGTAATCATTGTTGTCAATATGGGACAGATGTCATTAAATCAGCAAGTTGACAGGATGTTGATGATGTTTAAGGCACAGTAGATGAAATATTGCATACCATGTCCAGAAGGAGTTCAGAGTTGAAGGAGTAATGAAATCATAATCAGAGTTGAAGTAGTAATGAAATCATAAGAGGAAGTTGGAGCTCTAAAGAGCAAATGTGTAAGATAAAAAATCATGTGCAGGTTGAGGGTTGAGCAGCCTGAAATTCTAGGCATGCCAGAGATACAAAGAAGGACATGCCAAATTATAAGAAAACTGAAGAAAAATATGAACTTTGGTAATGTGCACAAAACAGTAAAGTAAAGGTTAGAATTACATGTTGTAGTTATGGTTTTGCTTTAGAAATCAACATTCTGTCTGACAAGCACAAAAGTCAATGCACAGAGTTTATTCCAGACCAGTGACCAGCATCAGACTGGTTCAGAATCAGAGTCCAAACTTGTTCCGGTGAAGTAAAACCTTCACTAAATGTCCGTGTTAGTAGAGGTTGGAAGCCATCACCACTCAAACTCTGTGTAGTTTATACTGACTTCTCTATTTTAGTCTAGTAACACTTATTTCAAATATTATGTCCAAAGGTTTAGTCAGACTTGAAGTAATTGATAAACTATTAGATATTATTGAAGAGTTAATGTCAATTCTAGAACTGCTAGAAGGATATCAACATTGAAATAAAAGTTGGAGGTACAACTGTTAAATATATATTGGACTAATTGTATGTTTTGTTTCTATGATACATTAAATATTTGTTTCTGTGTTATCTAATCTCCGAGTGAATTCTTTATTATTTATGGAAACTTCCTCTTTTTGATGGCTCATGAGCCTCACCCACAACTGCACATAAAATATCCTGGCATACAATAAATGTATTTGTAACTTGTATACAGTTGACCTTTGTGACTAACAGCCATCTGTTACAATAATAGCTGGAATGTTTTAAAAATGCTTAATCTCTCCCAAATATAATCATTGATCTTACTATATCAAAAAGTTATGAATAAAGCATTAGAATACAGAGTAGGAAAAACTGAATAAATGAACACCTAATATTAAATGATATACAATCTATATTTGGGTCAAAATACAGGTTTAAAACAAATGCAACAAGACACAATATCATGAAAACAAAAAGGAAGTAAAATTCAAAATCTTATATGCATCATAATAAAAGGTGAACACAATTATCTAACTGAACTGATGTGTAAGGTCTCAGTATCTTACAAGAAGCTTTTGGAGATTCTTCAAAGTAAATTGTAACTTTCTTTAATGGATGTGGAAAAATTATCTGGTCAAACAGGTAATAAATATTTGTAAAGATGAAAAGTAATATTTTAATCAGCTTGATAGTCTTGAGGTTTAAGGTAAAGTTTAATATATACTAAGCATAAAAAAATTATTAATAATACAATTTTTTAAGTGCAGAACAAATTTATATATGGGCTAAAATTAAATAAAACATGTAGAGAAGCATATAGTGTGGAAGGTAAAATTTTACAAAATAAATGTACCAAACTATTAATGTTCCAAACTAGTTTGAAAGGAAAGCAGTTGGAGAAACTTTGAACCATTTTAAGATTACAAGTCTATTTTTTCTAAAGTAGAAAAACAAAATCAGGTAGATTTTATTTTTATTTAACAGCAAGTTTACAATAAAAAAGAATCATGTTAGTGTAAAGTTAATTCTTGTAATAATGTGGGCTTTCATTTAAGTATACTTTGATTAAGAAACATGCAATACTTAGTGACTAAAAGTGAGTATTTTTTTCACACATCAACAAAAAATTGTGCCACAAAATTGGCAAATCCTAATAAGACAAGAAAGACATGAAAAACTACAGAAGTAAGTGTTAAGCTTCTTTCGTCCTTCTGAGCCTTAAGGTATGTGATACAAGGCAAGGCGAAGACATAAGCTAGGCCTGAAAATGAGCCGGAAAATCTGAAAATTTGGAGAATATCAAATCATTTATAAACTACTAAGGATAAAAATGGCCAATTCATTCAGTACTTCTAAAAATAATTGATGCCATAAATAAAAAGTTCTGTTTGTTCTCCAAATCAGTTGATTAAAAATCACAAATATTACAAGTAAAGATAAATTAACAACAATAAAAGAAAAGACAATATGGCATTATACTTAACCTTTCCTTCACAAATATTGGGACTCATTATTAGCTTCAACAATAATAAAAACAATCCACTAAATCATTGTGAGTAATCAGTTGCAAAACTAATCATAAAATTAGACTGCCATTATAGATACTGCTCTTCAGCTCCAAATTAACGAGTTATCCAGTTCACCTCTTTTAATGATGAATTTTTTTATCAATATGGCAAAAAAAACATTAGAAGTCAAATGTGTGTAATAATGTAGTAATCTAACAATAAAGGCAAGTTTATAACAATCATGGATGAATGTTTCGAAAGACAGAAATAATGCCTGCTCTATAGATAAATACAATCAAATAACTCCCAATCCAACATTTCTTTTGAAGATATTATTTAGAACTATTAGAAAAGATTTATATTAAATTTACTTTAATTCATTGCCATTTAATGACTAAGAACATTATTTAATGTTTACGTAATAATAACTTGTTACAAAAATTAATACTCATTATATATATGTGCTTATGAAGAAGTTTCTGTGAAGTTTTTAATCAATAGAAGAAAATTAATGAAATAAGAAACCTACCTAATGATGGTTCCTATACGAGGAAAGTAAATAGCAAACAAGATACAAATGACCAGGAGAACACTGTTTAAAATAACTATTTGCTTCAATCTGGAAGAAAAAAAAAATCTTTAGGTTCTCTAATCTCAGATTAAACTTGCTAGCAAGTATAAATATGTCTTCAAGCCCACTGAGTTGATGTAACATAAGTTGATAGTCAGAGTTAATTTAATTCACCTCAACTATATCTATATGAAAAAAGTTTTACTTAATAGTCTGATTTAAAGGAAATGATGCACAGTCACCAAAGCAAATCATGGGAGGTTCTAGATGTCATATGAAATTTTTTAAATATAACCTAAATGTACAGGGTGTCCCAGAAGTCTGGACCCATGTATCAAATAGACATTATAAAGTTAAACAAATACATTTCTAATATTAGTTGTACATATTTCAGGAAAGAAAATACCCTGATAGCACAGTATACCAAAAATTAATATGTGTATGGCTGTTAATTGCATGCAATTTGAATAAAAATACATTAAGAATAAATTGTGTATTTTTTTCCCTATAGGTTCAGACTTCTGAAACACTATATATATTAGAAACACACAGCCAAAACAAAAATGTCTAAACATGAAATAGTAATTTTAACCACTGCTTAAGATCTCTTAGAAACACACATTTTGTTTAACATGAATAAAACAACAAAAATTATATTAAAGTCAAAAGCCACAATTTTCTATTATTAATATATCGGATAATATTTTCCGGTACTCACAGAGTAAATAAATAATATTTCTTTTGAAACAGTAAAAAACATAAAATAAAATTATTTTACTCATTAATAACAAAGAACTGTATAGAGAAGTATTTAAAATAATTAAGACAAAGGTTTTAAAGAAAAACTGAAACCCACAATTCTAAATCTTAAACTTAAAAAGTAATTTAATTTTAGTAACAAATGGTAATGGTTCTGAAAGTTGAAATAATTTTAAAAAATGCATTATATTTCAAAACAATGAAACTGATTGTTACTCAGTGCTAATTTAACACTTTTATGTTACCTTTCTCCCCATTATTAAGATGGATCACATAAAGCTAATAATTACAGACACACAGAATGAATGAAAATTCTGAAAAATGGATTAAAACAGTATAAAATTATCATAATTACATATGGTTATCCTCTTTGTCTAACCCTTACACATACTATACATATTATGTTTCTGCCATTAAGATGGAAAGAAATTTGTTCTGTAATTCATAGTACACAAATCCAATAGCTAATGTTTCTGTGTTCTCTATGTCAGGTATAATATATTCTTCATTTGTTGTTACTTTGATTACACTATTTAATATGTCAAATGTCTTTACTTTTAATTTGATTTGTTATTACTAAGCTTTTATTATAGAAATTGTTTTGCAATGGTAGCTTAATATATGTATTTAGAAGTAACTTAAATCTCCTAAGCTGACCAAATTTCATGAGATATTACTGGGATTGTGGCTGAAGATATCATTAACAGCAAGGGTACGCAAGTGATGTGACTATACCTTCTAATCTTTGAAAATACAGATATAAGAAATGTCTATTTAATTACCTATACTGATTGCTAAGTTGGGTTTTAGTTTCTCTTGATGTACACAATTTTCTCTGATTGGGGTTAATATTAATTAATAAAAGTTTTGTTATTCAGAAGTGATTTTGAAATATATTTGAATTACCAAAATACAAAAGACATCAAATGACCACATCATCTATTGTTACTCTTGAAAACTCTTGAATTGGAGTATACTCAAAAGGATTACACTGGAATAAATATTATTTTTCAAACATAAAAATGCCATGACCTCAAAGCATAGTTTACTATAAAGTTTACAAACATTCACAATACATCTATTTTACTTTATAATATAGAGCACTTAGAACTTTACATTATTAAAACATAATTTATAAAGTTAATAAACATGCATTTTAGTTTGATCAACTAATTATATTTTGATGTAGACCATTATAATTGTAGCAATCACACATCAAAGTAGTTTGACATATCACCTTTCTTGCACAGCTACAACTGAAACAAAATACAACTGGAGTATCTTTTGTCATAAATCACTCAACACAGACAAAAATGTCTTGCTTTATTGCAAACTACTGGGGGAACAACCTGATATAGCGATAGCACAAGTGAAAAAATTATGATGAATACTCAAACTGAAAATAAAGAAGAACTGTAAAAAATAAAATAAAAATTGACAAATGTTTCAATATACTTCTTAAGACAAATATGTCATTTTAAGACAAGAAGCTTAAGAGAACATGATATTGTTGGAACATACTTACCTAATTTATTAATTTCTATTTAATAATTTAATCTTTCCTTTTTATCTGAAGTACAACAATTTTGCAAAAACTTAAAATGATAACTCTGCCTGTGTAATGTTGTGGTTTTGTTTCATTTTTATTAACTAAATAAACAAAGGGTTGATCAGTTTTCATCTGTACTTATTCTGTGTGCATTTTATTGTTAAACAATTTGTAGCCAAACAGAAAAAAATCTAGGTTTAAAAAAAATTATTGTTCAGAGCAACTTTTGTGAGTAAACTTTAACCTTAAGTTGTCACGAGTATGACCACCATGCTCTGATGTATATGCAGGAAATGAAACAAATTACTGACTGATCACATTTAAAGGTTGTACCTACACCCATAGTTTTGGTTTATATCAGTAGGTTCCAAACTTTTTCTGACTGATAACACCCTAACCCACTTATTGATTTGCGTCATACCCCTGCTGCCACATGAAATAGTTTTTTATACTTTTTTTTTATGTTCTTAATGATTCTTTATTTCGTGAAACTTTTGCATCACCCCTAGCAACTTCCAGTGACACAATAATGTGTCATGACATACAGTTTGGAAACCATTGGTGTACACAGTTAGTACTTATAACATTAACTTATTCACATTTAACCTTTGTGAAGGAAAGACTGAAAATTGTATATAGTTGAAACTTTTAATTAAAAATACTTATTTCATTATCTATTACACAACAGTTCTGACTTTGCAACAAATGCTGGTCAAAAATAAATTACCAGCTGCCAATCTTTGAATTCACAACTTGTATAAACATCAGAGATGATCATTCCAAGTACAATAAAATCACAAAAGTCAAAATATTAATAATCTTACCCTGGATAAATGCATCCAAACAGGAAGTGCATAGCTTGAATTCTAAGTAGATATAAAATTAGTGGAAACAAGGTGAATACTTGGAAGAGTAAAAATAATCTAGTCAAAAAGGCCATCAAATCTGAACTTCCAAAGTTGTTCAAAATATTCTAAAGAGAAATAACACAAATAATATGTTAATTCAGCCCTATATAATAAGCAGTTCATTTCAAAAATAACTATTCTCAAGCAAAATGCTGTTAGCAAAATATTTTCTTGAGTATGGTGTTTAACATTTTTTGAGATTATTTGTACCATTAACTTGTTTCATTAATCAACTTAAATTTATAGACTTCCATAGCCAACATAGAATTTAACTATTCACTGTCTTGTGTATTCAGTGGTATGATTTTCCTTATTGCATTGTGCCTTATTCATTTTAAGCTAATTTTCAAGAATATACAACTCATAAGGAGAAACGAAAATAACGTTATGTGATTAATTTAACCCTAGAATTACAGCCAGGGTCTATATGACCCCACTGACTTTTAAACATGTTTCTGAACTATTTATGCACCAAGTTTCTCATAGGTGTATAACAATATTTGTTACAGAGTCCCAAATAAAGTGTCAATCACTCACACAACATCAACATTGCAGTTTGGTCCTAGTCATTACTGCTGGAGTTTCTTATGTACATTACAAAGAAAATGAATGATTTCATTCAAATATTTGGTCAGTTCTTTACAGTGAGTGTTGTAACAGGAGAAAACAAAATTACTTAACATGATATGTTGACACCACTGGTAGTAAACAGTATAAAAACATTTCAGTAATTGGAATGTTAACTAGAGTGAACTCCCTCTTTTAATACATACTATTAAATAACTAATAATTTCTAAACTTAAAAATACTTGATACCTAATAAGAAAAGTGTGTTAAGGGTTTCTTTGTGCTCAGAACCAACAAGTTTAAAGAAATTTAGCAAAATAATTCCCTAAAACTGAAGGATATCCTTCTGACCTTCCTTGAAAGCACTCATCAGATGTACATATCTAACCTCACCATAAACAAGCAAACATTCTTCACAAGCTAAGCTAAAGTGGCAGACAACCATCTTCAAGAAAGCTATTGTGTAAAAATTGTTAAACTTGTTGTTTCACTTATAAATTACCCAGGTATCTTGAAGAATACCACAAAATTACAAACAGTCAGGACACTTTCACAACATATGCACAACTGTGGAGTCTTACAACCTTTATAAGTTTTATCGGATTACTTTTACACCCATATTCCCCAGAAATTTAGCAATAGTAAACTGTGCAATAAACATTTAATAGTTAACAGAATCAATGAAAATTCTGTTAATAAAAATAACACTATAATTAAAGCAATCATTAAATTTAAGACTAGTAAATTAATACTTATAGGTATTATGTTACACCACTGGCACTAAAATTTTTGTGCATGCATCAAACCTTGAATGAAACTCTGACCCCTATCTGAATTAACATATATTGCACAATTATATCATGTACTCATCATTAGACATATCCTCCATGAGCACTCACATTTCAACAAATGCACATTCTTGACGAAGCAAAAGAAACTCACTGGAAGTGAGAAGTTCTGTGACAAGGTGAGTATCTATGTGAAATACATTTTCAGGTAAGGAAAATGTTTTCAGAAATGTTACCTCTCCATAGAACTCGTAGCTAAAATATCACAGATGGTGGAGGGGCAGTGCAGATTATGAAATTAAAAATATGAGCTGCTTTTAGAAATTATAATACCAGAAAGTGGAAACTCTTGCCGAATGACATTCACTAAATGGGAGAGGCTTAATGATGCAGTTATCACTCAATGGGAGACGAAATCCTTCTTGTGCAGGAAATAATTTAACCCAATAAAGCTATGATAGCAAAAGATATTGTCAAAAGAACCTTCTGCCTTTGTTAAAGTGTTGCATAGATGAGCAGAATATAAGACTGCTCAACTGAATATTATAGCTCTGGTAGTCAGCTGTGTGTGTAGAGTGGCTAGGAAAGTAAGTCACGTCTTACAGTAAGTGAGAAATACTTACATGAAATATCTATACTAGAATAAGCAGGTGTAAGGAGAAAAATTCCAGACTAGCTTTCCAAGGCAAATGCAAGAATCATCCAGTTGGCCTAATCACAGTGTAATGGGGTGGCCTGTACTACCTGACTTCTGACATTTGTTCTCATACTAGTAGGATTCCCTCAAAGGGAAAGTCTCCATATCGATCTCCTCAACAGCTTGGGAATGGAGAAACAAGGGTTCTCCATTTACTCTAAGAAGGTGATTTTTATTTTTTTGCAGGTCCCATAACCACCTTATTATTTCCAAATATATATATATATATATATTAAAAAGGTGCAAGCCAAAATATTGAGTAGAATATAAAATATTTTATCATTTTTTAAAACTTTCAGTGCTGACTGAAGGATGGAAAAATTTTAATGAAGACAACAAACAACTTCAGATATGGCAAGGAGGAGGAGAACATTGAAGAGGTGCTTGGACCAAACAGGAAACATCACATCTGAACAAGTTTCCCCACTGACAGGATGAGTAACTGGTTACTGCAAATAGGTACAGCAGAGACTGACTAGCAAAAGTTTGAGGGGTAGGACCACACTTGATTCTGTCCATTTTTTTCTCCTGAAGTATGACTTAGAAGATAGAAAATATTTTTATTATTTATACGAGCTTTCAGTGCTGACTAAAGGATGGAAACCATTTTCATGGAAGATGACAAACTTCAGATAAATGTTTTTTTAATCTACCTGACATTTCAACTTACACCTTTTTTCAAGGGTCTATGAATGTCACAGATTACAAAATTGACTTTAAATGACAGTAACTGAAAAGAATACAAAACTACCACAATATAATGGAATGGTGCACGTTGAAGCATACTGAAAGTATAGTTGAATGGGTGGGAGTCGCAGATCATAAAATAAATAAATAAAAATACAAAAAATAAATTAATACAGAATGATAATATTATAGGGGCCACGAATTGTATCTGTTAATGGAAGGATGTTTGGACTGAATCAAAAGAGTTTCTTTAAATTTTCTGTCAAGTGAAAAGAACTGACAAGAATCACAACACAGATTGGTTTCTTTCATCTGTGTAAAGATCATCAACTGATACCTTCTGGTATAACTCAACTAAGAAATCTAAGAATAGTTGGACAGTGTCAACATCGCCAATGACACTGTCCAAAATAATGGGTAAACCCATAGAAAGTAAATGTTGAAAATGGTGACATAGCTCACGGTTGTAACAATGGCAAGACAGTAAAATGTGGACTATTTTGACTTGAGTGTCACAAAAGCTACACAATGGTGGGTCAGTACCAGATAAGAGAAAACGATGTGTTAAAAAACTGTGACCAATATGCAGCCTAGTCAGGACATCTTCCTCCTCCTCATCCATATGGAAACAAGATGACCAAAGAGCAACAGAAGGTTTAATCTGGAATGATGTTGTTCATCTCAAGCTGACTGCCAATTGGCGGGAAGCTGAGCTTTGAATACAGGACTGTAGTTCATATATGGGACAGACAAGGCCGTGATGGCACCAGAGCAGATGGACTTAGCTGTGGTGTCAGCGAGCTCATTCCCATGAATACTGACATGGCTAGGTATCTAGAAAAACTGGATGGAAACAGAAGATAGAGAAAAATGGGCCAGTTGTGGTTGAGTATCAATGAGAACAGGGCGAGAACAAACATTAAGCGATTCCAGGGCCAGTAGAGAGTTAAGAGAGTCAGTGTAAACAGCATAATCAGAGTACTATAGCTTCTATGTGATTCAGGGCAAGAGAAATGGCATAGAACTCTCCAGTGTAACTGTAGAGGGGATCCTGTGAGCAATCAGGCACTTGCTGTCCATTTGAAACTTAGATTCAAGAGTGTGCTACTCAACAAACCACACTGAGCTGAAGAAGGGCCGAAGGCACCGCCTGGAACTGGAAGACATGAACTCTCGTGGATGAACAGAAGAAAACAATGTGACACTGGAGCAGTTGGAATATGAAGATAGGCATCCATCCTGACGATTTGGTCATCCAGAGTCCAGGGGAGAAAGAACCCCAAAGTGAGAGATACAACTCCTTGATGAAGTGGGTCTCCAGTCTCTCATTTTTCAAGGAACAACAAATAGATGGGAATAAAACATTGGTTGAGTGGGCACCACCCATTCAACAGCCCCTTTGCATTGTAAGTCTTTAACAGACTAGGCAAGAAGAGAGGAAGAGTTATGATCCCAAGGAGGAAAGAAGGAGATCTGGGAAGTGGATAGGGGGGGGGGAAGGAACTGAACATACTTAGAGAAAGTACTCATTACTAACGAACTAACAAAAACTAGAAATTTGTAGAACCTACAAAATACATTAAAATAGCAAACTTGTGAAACTATGAAATTCGATCTAAGACATAAAACTATAAGCAACATCTAAAGTACAAAATCACCAAAAGAACTTAGAAGAGAAAAGACAAGTAAATATCGAATTTACTAGTCCACTCAAAGAACCGATAAGACAAAGGACACAAAAGTAAAACCTACCCTGAAGAACACGGAACTTACAAACTAACTAACATAAACAATGAAAGGAAGTATAAATAATGAACTAACACACCCTCAAAAGTGTCCGAGGTTACAATTACCCATACATATACAAAAAATTAAACAAAAACAAAGTAATAATCAAACTATAAATACAAATTTAAACTAAAATAACTTAAATGGTAAAAAGAAATCTAACTTACCAAATACTGAGCAGAGTAGACATGAAATACATAAATTATTGCATGAGAAAATTAGGTCAATCCACATAAGCCTACATAAACTTGAGTATACCTACTGGGATTGAGGAACACACGTTGAAAAACTTACTGCAGATCTTCTGAGAAATGCACAATAACTAACCCAGGAGATTACACGAAGGTGTGGTAACAGGTGTAAGGTGCCATAGAAAGAAATTTCCACTCGGTGGTAATATCCTTCCTCAGAAAAAAGACACCATCAGCCGAATGTAAAAAGCGAACTCACTGTGAATTAAAGCCTATACTTCCTCAGCAGACATCGCTGACCCTGAGATCTTGGGACTCATATCAGAACCATTGTCGACTGTTGCAGG